CCACTTGCCTTCATCTTTTCCAAATGACTCATTCCTTTACCAATACCATGTGCAAACTTCAGTTTTTGTAGTTTGTTCAAGGGTTCGACTTCGTTAAAGTCCTGACTACTACCTGGTACATTCATATAGGAGTGGTCGACGTAGTCGGGTATACGGTGCTCGTGAAGGTATTCAATTAGGCTACCATTCTCGGCCAGTTTTACCACTACCCATAGTGGACCTAAAATGATAAAATACGGTTTTAAACTTGTTGCTAGATCGGATCATATCTTTAGGAATTTCAAGGAAACCAATAGTTCGATGTTGGTATACTATAAAGGCCATGTACTTAGGAGTGTCTAAAATCCAGAACTGTACTGTGGATCGATTAAAGTACAATTATAAGGACAGAAAGTTAAGGGAGACTACAAATGGATAGGACATAGATTGACTCCAWATCTAAAAAAGAGATTCGAGTGATTTCTATGGCCATCTCCGGTATTGTTTACATCCACATTGAAATGAAGGGTCATTGCCATCGTAAGATATATATTTCTTAGAACGGAAGGGTAAAAATGGGCTTTAAAAAGACTGATGTCTGTGATCATCGTGAATTCAAAGATTTACTTTGATATCAAGCGATACCCAAGTAAATGCCGGGCGAAGGGCATGTCGGTTGGCTAAGAGTTAACCCCCAGGAAACTATAGCCTTTATCTAATTTCTCACCATTAGTCGTGCATGCACCTAGCAGACTTATCACGTTAGGATTATAACCAACTTGTGCCATAATACTCAGCTCGTTAAACAAATCGCGGTGTTCTCTGTCGGTTGCATAGGCTGAAATATAATCATCACCGATTTTTAATGACAGATGTTCTATTATTTTGAATATTGCATTGATTGTCCCTTCAGTTGAGTGAATACTCCATTTCCCACTAGCTCAAAGCGGGGATTACCACTGTTTTACTGCTAGATTCTCTTACGACTTTTCATGAACAAGACATGAAAAGCTGCTGTCATTACAACAGGCCCACTTATTTGCATTATCTCTAAATTGGGGCTAACCTGTGCTTCTATAGTAAGAGGTTTAAACTTTAGTTCTTTTATGATTACATGATTCGTCTCGAAAAGGAGAAATGGTAATTTTTTTAGGACGATAAGAGCATTTTTGTCTTGCTCTCTTTTGTTTCTGGTTAATGAATGTGTGGCGACTATAGAACAAGACAGAACAGTGGTCCTCGTCGGATCGGAAAAGGAAGTATTTGCAGTAACAAAGACATTGACTTTAGTTGGTTTCACCTCCTAGTCCCTTTAACCTTCCCATTTATAGATGATTGTCACTTTTTCTTTATCGTTCATAATAGTACTCTTACGTTTGAGCATTTTGATTGCGCATGGAATCTTCTTGTCGTTCATTTTCAGGTCTGCTCTAACAACGGTACCAAAAGCTCCAGCGCCAAGCTCCTTGCCGACCATCAAATCAGATCGACTAAGTTCTTTCCACCGACAAGGGAACTCTTGTAACAGCCTTCCTATGTTGTACGGGTTTTCCTCGCGAATTTGCCTTGTTTGTGACATTTGAATCTGAAGAATAAAGAAAAATCTTATAGTAAAATATTTTGTATTTTTAGATCTCTGTATTTCTCCCAGAATCGTCTGTTGCCTGTATAATGACCATTCTCTACTTACATTGGCAAGTTCATGTTCTTCTTCGTCATGGCAAGTTTTTCGTAGAACGACGCAGAATAACAACACTGCGATAAGCGCCAAGGCTATTGGAAATACGATGTTGAGCAGGATGGCATTCAACATTGGATCTGGAACCAAAATCAGTCACATTATGATGTTCACCAGTGTAAATTCGTGCGCCCTTGTTTGCGCCAAACAAAATGACAATAACAAAAAATTCTTCTTTGATAACCGAACATAAATTGCCGATCGAATAAGATGTGGAAAAAGAGAACACTTAATAAAAATATTGGGATGCATTGATCCATAGTACAGATTCTTGGGTGACCAAACCGCTCTCAAGCTTTATTGTTCAACATCAGTTCTATATATCTGATATAGAACTGATTTAAAACATCATTGCTTTATCGGAATTTCAAGGGCAATCATGGGATCCAAGAGCTAGATGCTCATTGGACTAATAGCTCATGAATTATTAATGCTTTCTAGAAGTGACTTGAGCGTATTTGTAGACGTTGAATCCAAGTCTTCTTCCATCACGCGTTACACTCTCGACGACATGTGCTACCTGTGGGTCATTTTCTGACTGACAAGCGACGGCGACAATGAAAAAAAAAGAAAGAAATCCAAAATCTGAAATCGGGATTCGCTTGGAACCCCGAGTAGTAACTGGCTCACAAACTTCAATCTCCTGTTATGGCCCAACTATGAACTACAAACCCGAACCACAGCGCTCGCACTGGCTACCCTTGCTTTTCCTTTCGCCGTGTTTCAGTCGGACCTAGTCAGTGTCTATTATGTGCAAACACGCTTCCACTCGGAACCTCTACATTGACTGTTTTAGCACACCACTCTTATTACAGGTAGTTTATGACTGAGTGAGGAAAACCAGCATATCTGGAGAAAAACCCTTTGGGTGCAAGCATGACTGAGATCAAAGGTCAAATCACATATAGTCAGGAATCAAACCAGAACTATAGAGATGATAGACCGGAACCGTATGAGCCAGTTTTTGATATAACCGGGACTATTAGAATAATTCTATGCACGATTCAATTTTATCACTCTTACTTGGTGTTGCAATTTCCTTGGTAGTTCCTCGATTACTAGTCCCAGTTGAGCGATGTGATACTACTCTAACTAAATATTCTTTGCCGCTGTCTAGACCATCTAAGAGACCATAAATTACAGGGCCATCGTTTTTAACGGTTTTTACCGTCTTGAAATCCTTCTCGCCGTGGTGTCTGTATTTTATGCTGTAATCATCAAGTTTATAGAGCTTGTCGTTCTTGGGGGTTTTCCATCGCAGGATGACGTAGGTTGGACGAAGACGGTAAATAACGAGGTCTAAAGGAGGTGGGGGTGGTCCTGAAAGAGATATAACAAATATTTTGGTAAAATACTGCCAGTAGAATTGCCTCAAATCGGTTATCCTAGCTCCCTTGAGGTGGTGCGGGGGGCAGCAAATGTCGTTCAAGAGACTAGAAGCGATATTAAGTGGGTATACACCTTGGTCCTCTCAAGGGCGCCAGGACAACCATAACAGTTTTTGAATGATATTTTGATTTAATTTTTTATAGCTTTGAATATCTTAGAAATTCACTTATGTGACTTCTTGTGTATATTTCGTATTATTTTTAGTTCACTAAAATATAACTTAGGGTAAATTATTTCTTAAAGGGACACTGTCTTGCCTCTAACGGACTTTGAAAGTATTACCTTCGAGGTTAATCAATGTTTTGACACACTTTGGAATATTCTAGATCTGTTTGCGTTTACGAGTACTTTTTTGTCATGCGTCGCGCCAACTTGGAGTCGTAAACTTGAAAAACATTAGCCTAATCTTTTCAAGTTTACTCGCGCATGCGTGCCATTGACAGTGTACCTTTAACTAGCTACATTAACGATATTAATGACGACGTAGATTAAATCGCACGCTTGCATAAGCGGACGGTACAGTGTGGTAACAGACGTAATAAACGACCGTTAAAAAACGTGGCGTACTGAAATAAACACGTATACAGCTTTTGACCTATTGGAATGGAGAATAGTGGCGACCAACCGCCTAGGGAATTCGGTATGCACTCGAAATATACACAAGAAGCCAGATAAGTGAGTTTCTAAGGTGTTCAAAGCTATAAAAACTACAATCGTAATCCAGGATTTCAAACATTAAGGGAAGGTTAACCCTTTAACGTCTGCGATTTACTTTGGATTGTTGTTTTTGAGACTGATTTTTCAAAAAATTAAATGTAGCCCATATAAGGAGTTGTCAATCCAACTATTGGAGATACACATTCGTATGAGTTTGTTTACTTCAGCGACGCCCGGTGAATTTGAGACGGGTCGCTAAATTAGCCAGCACTCGCTCTCAATTTTGCCCAAAAACCGTTTTAAGTGATTTTTCGATTCATTTTCTGCAACAGAAGCCCCTAAGACTGCATTATAAATCTCGAGTAGGCGGCAGAGACACTCTTCTGGACGAAATCAGAAGCAGGAAGCGATTTTTCCAAGACAATTTCGCCAATACGAAGTTCACTTTGAATTACCTACTTTAGAGAAAGGTCGCCCCCCTAGTCCGTTCTAGGTCAGATTTCAGAACCTACCAAGGTAAAATTGGCAAGTTTTAACATCCAAAGAATGCAATCGGTGCAATATTTTGCCTGTAGATGCGAGTGGCATGGCATGAATGAAAACAGGAACGTTGGTTGTTCCCTGTCGAGTTTGAACCACATTTCCCATGATGCAAATCCAGTCGGTCGCGCAAGTGAGAAGTCTGGGTTTGCTGGGATTGGTGTCGAAAAGGGGGTTGTGGCTAGATCTGCAGAGACTTCTACAAAACAAAAATGCAAAAATACTTAAGGCCAGGAATGGCCAATTTCAAAAAACGTAGAATTTCGATTTGCAAAAGATGATTTGACTCTACAACTGAAGACGATGAGACGTGAAACCTATCCTTTTTGTGTATACCACTAAGTCGAAATTTTGTCATTCCTTTTTTTTCAGGGGTTAGTCTTAAACTGTTGGCAGCAGGTGGAAAAGGGTCCAGAAGAACTTGGATACGCATGCGTTGGATCATGTTTTGTAACCAGATAGCTTGGCTAAGCACGAAGTGCTGTGCTGTTTGTTATGTCTTAGGTTCATATTTAGCCCTGACCGCCCGCTGAGTTAGCAACTGCAGCTGACCAAAATGACCTTCAGAGGACCGGTAGATATTCGCATAAAAAACATGTAAGGGGTAGAAATACGTACGTGCGAGGGTGAAAATAAGGGTGTATTTGCCTTAGTTAGAGAAAAGTGTAAATGTTTTATTTACGAAATGCCCCAAACCATGGCCTTAGTTATCAAGTATCCATAGATAAGTAAATAGAACTTAAAATATCCGAGTAGTTTCGAGTGAAGATGATTGCAAAATGCAAAGGAGACATAGAATTAGCCGAAATGCTGCTTTTCCAAAGCACAAACAAACTTAAAATATTTGATCAATAGCACCATCCCAAAAGACAAAAAATATGTATTTCTTCTTGAAAATATAATTCCTCAAAATGGTTGCGATTACGATAAGTAAAATACTGGAGCCACGATAAATCAGAACGCCTACAGTATATATTTAAAAAGCACTTACCGGCTACTATGAGATTGCTAACATATAAAGAACCCAGTCTTCCTGCTTGGATGTTCGCATTTATGATGTCTACAATGTTCTCTTCAACGCTGTACTGACTTTGCACTGAATTCAAAGATGCTGACACAATGAATTTCAAGAAGACCTCTGAGAAATGAACGCTGCAGAATGGAAGAACGATTTCAGTAAGAAATCTTTAAAATCAGGGGCTACTGAACTGAGAGTTTCCTTTTCCTCCTCATTCCTTCAAGAGTTTTTTCATTATATTTTTCACAATTTTTCTTTGCTTTTACATTAAAGCAAAATCACAAAAAAATATAAAAGAAAATCGTCTTGAAAAGAAAAGAAAAAATCTTGGTTCAGCATAATTTAAGACTTTAGGATGAATTGTTACAAAAAGAAAATATGGATCAAAACCACTGATGGATGTTATGGAAGGTCTGATCGAATCCAGTATGGCATTATAACTCCTTCAGAATAAGACCAGCAGCACAAAACATAATTACTCATTACTCAGAATCAATGCAATACAAAGTTGACTGGTTGAGCAAAGAAGTCGCTGCAAACCCCAATAACAAACCTAGGAGAGATTTTTAGTATGTGGTACTATCATAGTTATCATAGTTTAGGGTGGCAAGGGTGGTCTAGTGGTTAAGCTGCTGGCCTCTCACCGCTGTGGTCCGGGTTCGATTCCTGGGCACGGACCATATGTGAGTTTGAGTTTGTTTGATGTGTTGTTCTCTCCCTTGCCACGAGGGTTTTTCTTCGGGTCCTCCGGTTTTCCTCCCTCAGTAAAAATCAACATGTGAGGAGTGTTGTGTGCTAAAATAATTAATGTAGAGGTAGTGAGTGTGAGTGTGAGGGCCACAAGTTCATCAGTTCTTTACTGTCACGTGTTACCCTCGCAAAATAAAGTCGATTTATTTATTTACCAGTCTGTGTAAACACATTTTGTACTTACATGATATTAACTTGAACGTGCTCCACTTTGTAAGAAACTGTTCCATTATACATTGCAAGAAGCTACAAACAGAGAAAACAACTTTTTTCTACTTTCTTGTAACAGCCAAAGGTAACTGCTGTTTACCCAGGCGCACACTCCTTTCCTATTTTTAACAACAACACCAATCAAAGAAAAAGCATTGTTTTCAGTGAGCCAATCAAAAGGTTTTGAAAGTGACAACTTGATTGGTCAATCAATAGGAAAGAAATGTTGCGCCTGGGTAAGCATCAGTTAATTTCGGCGAGGAAATTTGACGAARCCGGAAGTCGCGGCTGTCAGAAGAGACTAACTATTTTCTAGACAAGAGAGAAATTATGATTCACCCAAAAGTGACGAACTACCCCAGTTTTAAAATATTTTTAAATTAAAATCTTTTTACCGTTGGCCCACCTTTTTTGTTGCTTTTGATGCTGTTGAATGGAGATGCATCATAAATGCTTGGATTGAAGTATGTTCAAAGGCATTTTCTGACAACTAGAACTAATGCTGCTTATTGCTCACATCTCCGAGACTTTACGTATCAGGAATGCAGAATTTGCCTTGTCAGCTTTTTCAATAGAAAAAAAGGTCAAAAAGACACAAGACCCCGCTTCATGTGTACGCATTTTCCGAGCACATAATTAGACAACTTTGCACGTGATATATAAATTTATTAAATTTCTCGTGAATCCCTTGTGACATATAGTGCGATTATAATATTTTCTTTCTTTTGCATCCAAGGAAATACCCTTAACGCCTAACGATAGTACATGAAGTCTGATATTCCCTGACATCTTACGTACAAGAGTATATGATATGATATTCCATGACACCTTTGCACGAGTATACGGTGTCTGATATTCCTTGACACCTTGTTTGCACGAACATATGTGTCTCATCTTCCCTGACACCTTGTGCACGCAAATACAGCTATTTCAAAAAACGTTGTCGGGGAGAACGGCGAACGGTGATTGTCGAAGGGAGATTGCACGACCGAAAAGGACTATGGTTACACTGTTTTGATAAACAAAATGTCACTTATTGGATTCACTTTACATAGAAAGGGAGACTAAATGGAGCCAATGTTTACCACAGACAATCTTACAGTACAAATCAGTTGTTATTGCCTTTCAACTAGCAAAGCGCATGGCTACTTTCGGTCGTGCAATAGACCTAATCGGCTAACGGCCGACAAGCTTTTTTGAAATAGCTATATACAATTTCTGATTTCTTGTCAAACCTTGTGCACGCAAATTTACGGGTCTGGCATCCCTTGTCGCCTTATGTTTACAAGTACATGAGGCTTTGACATGCCCTGAAACCTTGCATACACAAATATACGGTGTATTTCCAGGCACTTTACGTACTAGAGCATACGGTGGCTCATAAGTCCCTATCGTTTTCGTATACTGAACGAGTTTTTACCCGGAATTGTAAAGTGTGACTGAAAAATGGCATTCCCCTGATTTTAGCTATTTCACTCAAAGGAATTTTTTTCATAATATGATAATACTACGTAAGAGATATACATACCACACTATTGATTCTAGAAGTAAGATCTTTGTAAGCTTGTGACTTTTGGTCTCCAAGGTCGGTAACATTTGTTACATTATGAAGATTTAGTGTAAACGTTACCACAACAGATTCTGAAAACGAAAAGAAGGATACAAAAAAGCAGTAAATTAATGCAGTATTCCTGGAAAGCGTGTGATTCTCTTTACTTCTGTGTCATTTTATTTCACCGGCTAATTTGAGGAATTTTACGTGTGCAATAAGGGGGCACAAGCACGYACAATAATAAGATGCAATATAGAAATGAAAGAAAGTTATAGTGGTTAGAAGGAGACAATTACGGGAGAAAGACCCTTAGGAATAAATTCGGAAAAATTAATTTCCGACCTCGCTGGGATTCGAACCCACGGCCTTCGGATTTGAACTACCGATGCTCTACCAGCTGAGCTACAAGGCCAGAATGGGAGCAGGTCGAGGTGAAATCGATGTTAGGTTGCGGTAATAGTATAATGTAAAGATATCACATCTTTACAATAATAAGATGGTGCGGTTTGTGCGTTCAGGTCTATTTTCCTGCTTAATGTCAAAATCTTGTCAATATTATCCCTATGGTTTTCTTGCGACATAAGTGGAATCACAATGAAATTCTTGACACTGGTCTTACCTGCCGCAACAACCAGGCTAATGTTTGCAGAATCAGATCCGCCTGCGCTTTGAACTCTGCACTGGTAAAGGCCCTCATCTGTTGACTCAACAAAGTCGATAACCAGAGATCCATTATTGTAGGGTATTATGTGTTTCACAATTAATCCAGCAGTAGTGACAATTGTATGTTGCTTCATGAAACCGAGTTTCAAAGGTTCCTTATCATCTTTAAGAATCCATTCCACTGAGACCGAATTGTTAAGACCAGTGAAGTTACATGGTAGGACTACAAAGGTGTGGACTTTTGCAATAACTCGCGGCTTGAAATAGGTTATTCTGGGACCTAAATGGAGAAGGGAAAAAATGTACCATATTTCATTATAGTTATTTGCAATATGCCTTTTTCTTGTTCAAAGCGTTGACCAGATGACCCAGGGGAGGGGGTCCTCCTGAGATGACCGTTGACCAGCGGAGCGAGCGGTCTATTGTACAATTTCCATATATGGATTTCCATTTACAGGGTCACTGATGTACGTCCAGAAGGCCTCTCAATTAACTATTATGCGGAGAAGAACTTTCAGAATTTTCAAAGACTTAAACAAAGTTTCAAAGACTACAAACTAAAAAAATGAATTTAACTTAACGGTGAGCATGAAGATTCGAACCCTCCGCATTGCATTGCCTGAAGCCATGAGATGTAAAACTGATATTTTTTTGTTGTTGTATGTATATACCGGTAGTCATCCAGCAGACGCGTTGATATGCTTGTTAGAATATCCCAATCCAACTAAAAGACAATGGATGTATCGTTTTCTTTTGAAAAATAGGCGATTGAACAACATCATATTATCTGAATGGAAGAAGAAGCGTCGCATTTAACTCCCTCTTTTTGATTTATCATTACCATTTTACGAAACAGTTTTCAGATACAAACCAGACCAGGGAAAATGTTTCACCGCTTAAATATCCGTAAAAGTTGCAATAGTCCATTTCTGGATAAGTTCCTACTTTTGTCGACGTGAGACGTCTGGAGCTCGAAATCCTAATATAACGGCTTATAAAACTAAGACAAAAGACGCCTAAAATCACAGTAAAACATACTAAGAAAAAGGGAGCACTATTTGAAGTTCGACGTTTCGGAAAAATAAAACAATGAAATAAAACAACTCCTTGGTCGGCCATATTGCCAATCGAATTTCAGCAAGCAACTTGCACTTATTTCAATCATCGTGATAGCATAATTACTTACATGAATTTCCCAGGCTGATTTGACTGAAGTTGCCCGTTCCCGCACCAGTACTTGCAGCAACTTTGATGACGTATTCCCGACAGGCATCAAGACTGCTAATGATCACGTGACTTGAAGTATTACTCGCAGTCTTGTTCACCTTYACATTGTTTCCTTCAGATACGATGTAAAGATAATTACGAAGGATACCGTTTGCTTTGTCAGCTGATACAGGTTTCCATGATATGMTGAGATTGGATGGGGTCGTGAATTCCGCCGTCAGCCCTTCTGGTTTGCTTGGAACTGAATAGAAACAAACAAACATTTGGATTTATTCGTTTCCTAGGAAGAGACTTCGAGGGGTAAGATAGAGCTCGAATTATAGTTTCCATTTTGGAGCTGTGGAAATTCAGGATCTTCGACGAAGATTCTCACAGATGAAGAGACGGAGTGTATAAGTGTAGGCGCCGGATGTACGGAAGGGGAGAGTGGTGCGCGGAGGTAGACGGAAAGGAAGAAGTTTCACCGATGTACGCGTGGAGAGATGGGCGGATAGGTGGACGTTCGGAAGAGAGGTGGATGGATACACGAATGCATGGACGAGGAGATGGATGAATGGAAAAGAGACAGCTGTGTAAACTTATATAATGATAAGTGGATAGCAAATGCTCGGATTGATCGATCTCTCTATATATGCATGCTCACAATGAATGGGAAGCTGAAAGAACTTATGTACAATACATGCAATGAGGTGAATGAATGTTAACATCTAAGCTATTTCAAAAAACGTTGAATTCTGAATCCTGAAACGGAGTAGTTTATTCCAAGACATTTTCCGTCTTGGTCATTCTATATTAAAATAGTGCTTGTGGTGTCAGAGTGACTACACCCCGGTCAAGTTAAGAAACGTCATTGGAAAGCGATTAAGTATAGAATTGTTATTTTAAATCACAGCTTAAGTTAATTAACAGAAACAATGCATTGCGGTCTTGGAATGCACTATACAGTATTCGGCATTGGCAACCTTTTTCGAAATAGCTGCATTACCGGCTTTCGTACAAGTTATATATATATAATACCCAAATCGCTTAGTAACCTATATAGTCTTAAAGATATAGGCACAGAAAAATTGATAAAATCTCCATTTTTGGCGTTGTTTCGGTTGAATATTGAGAAGCTACAGCTATTCAAAAATGCTTTAAACTTACAAAGGAATGTAAAGAGAATGTGCACAAAGGTTTCCTGCATAACATGTGTATGTGAGAGTGTTTGAATGGCTGTGGTTTTTAACTCGAAGACTTGCGAAGCAATCGAAGAGTTATAGGAGGGAGATAGATGATGGTGTGTGAGGTGAGGTGGACTAGTTAATATAAGTCACTTATTTTTTCTGTAAACATACGGGCATTTAGATCTAAAAATCCGTAACCAACATGGCCAGGTGTTTTGATACAGAAATGGCTTTTTAAACACACAAAATGTGATTTTTGAGGTCTGAACAAAGTCTGAGGCTTCATACAGATTTATGTCCACGGTCAATCTCGTTCCAGAGCCCGCGTTCCTCTTGGCCTGATGGCGCGAGCAACCACGAACTCTGGCCTAMTCCATATTTTTCATCAGATTTTCTGGTGTTCCGGTTAAATTGCGCATGCGTGTCAAAAAGAAAAATGGCACAAAATTTTTTTTCATAGTTCGCTAGACCCCACGGTCTAGCGGCTATAGGAATGCTAAATTTAGCTCTGAAAACCAGACAATTTGAAATTTTAGAAAGTGTTGTTGTGTTTGCCGGTAAGGACATTTGAAATTTTGAATTTTTTCGCTAATACTAACGAGATTTGTGGMGCAYAGTCTACATAAATATCCAGAGAAACCGTCGTCTTCATGTATGTTATCTACTGAGCATATATMTTGCAAAGACGTTAAAASKMCCTCTCTSTTCGACTTGTTTCCAAACAAATCTACTTTGTAGCGATCTAAAAGTTTATTGCAAAATCTACAAGTATTATAAACTTGCTGCGTYGCCGCTTTCTTCGGAAAAGACATTGCTATACTCTGTTGCTACACTTTACAATTAATTTTTGTTTACAATTTTGCAACATCTTCAGTGGGCCTAGGACTCCTCGTCGCGCTCGCGCCCGAATTTTGACGCTGTTTTTCGCAAATATGATTGGTCAAATTTTACTTCCGGAGACGTCCGCATTCTTAATGAGGAAATTCTATCGACCAATGAAAAGCGCGCAAAATATGGATTCGGCCAGAGTTCGTGGTTGCTCGCGCCCTCAGGCCAAGAGGAACGCGGGCTCTGGAACGAGATTGGTCCACGGTATACTTGTCTAACAATCTTCGATTTGTGTCGCTATTGGCGGCTTGTTGAAATGATTGAATAAACTTTCACCAAACTTTGTGCTTTTTCAGCGGCCATCATGGTTTTTATACTGTAAGGCAAATTTAGCCATGCGGTACTCCAGGGGGTAAACAAAATCAAATTTATAGATGTTTATAGCAGGTATACCATGTAATTTTATATTTTTCTTTATTTGTACACAAGAATATTTATCAAATAAATATTTTCAATTTTATCAAGTTAAGTTAGTGCAAATTTCTAAATTACCAATTATTTTTATAATTAACAAAAAGAAATAACAATCTATGGGTTCCAGGACTACCTAATTTACAATTATATGTCTTTTTATCGTAAAACAATATTTTATGCAAAAATGAATGGCACATAGATTGTCCATCTTTCAAATCTGCCGTTCCTTCTATCAAAGAATTGTATGTTATTCGTGCGGGATCCCTGTGCATTCTAGTTTCTGGCTTCTTTTCGCGAATCTATGCCATATATAGAAAAAAACAAAATGGCCGATTGTTCAAAGGTGTTTTCGTTATAATATCTTCAAGCTTCAGACAATTTCATTCTTTATAAGTGGAGAAAATCGCCAAAAACCAGTCCTAACATACTTCCAAATAAGGTAAGATTATCATATATGGCTGCTAAACGAAGGGCAACTTTTCTGAGGCAAGTATTTGATAGTGCCTATATTCCGTGGTAGTGCCTATAGTGAACAAGGCCTATTATAAAACTTGTACCCAGTCTCCTACTCGGACATGAAAGCCGGTAATACCCACGCATGAATGATGATGCGGATGAATGTATCTAATATTAAAAAATATAGCTGTTTCAAAAAGGTTGTCGGATAAAATGGCGAAAATGTCAATGGTCGAACGCGGATTGCACGACTGAAAGTAGCCATGTGGTTTGGTAGTTGAAAGGCAATAACAACTGATTTGTACTGTAAGTAAACAATAGCTCCATTTAGCCTCCATTTAATTCTATGCAAGGTGAATGCAAGTGAAATTTTGTTTATCAAAACATATACAGCGTAACCATAGTCCCTTGCGGTCGTGCAATCTCCCTTCGACAATTGCCGTTCGCCGTCCTCCCTGACAACGTTTTTTGAAATAGCTGTATATAATTGTAATATATACCTCCTTCTTCAGTTCTTAACGTTTTCACATGTTTCACACTGACAAGCTTAGAGTCAAAACCTTTACTGTTGAATGCAAGAACTCCAAAATGGTAAACCGTAAAACCGTGTAAACCAGTAATCGTGGCGTTTCTTCTCCTAGCTTCAACTGTTATTTTTTTATACTTATTTGTGTAGTCACCTATATCTGCAGCATTTATATAAAAGACGTGATATCCTAATAAAGGTCCATTTTCTTGATCTTTGGGAATAGGATTCCACTCTAGGTAAATACTCGAGCTTGTACCAGTAAATCTTGTTATTTTTGGAATACCGCTTGGTTCTGAAATATAGACAAACAATCCCCGAACGATTTTGAAAGTCCAATTGTCATTTTCAAGACTACTTTGATCTTGCAGCACTCATTTCACGCACTCAAATTTAACTGAAAGTTTGTCTTTAGATGTTATTTATTTTGAGTTCGGTTACATCACACGATTTCCTTGATTTTGTGATGATAAGTTAAAAGTTGAAAGTGTATATGCATCGATACTTTCACGAGTTATAGTAATGAATAAATGTTAGAGTTAAATGTTCATTAGGTTAAATAGCCTGTGCATGTGCAGTCAAATGTACGAGCTATCCACAGCCGTTAATGCATTGAAAAAATTGCTGCTGGGAGCCTGTMAATAAGCTGGAAATCGCTGGAAATACACTACAACTTCAATTTTACTGTTCCATGAGCGCCATCTTGAAAGGTAACCAAGCCCTTTGCATCAAATCGAGACAGGAGTTGAGCCTGCAGTGATATATACCTTTTATTCGCACCTAATACAACTAGTCACAGGAATCTATCATTGCAATCTCAACTTCTGTCCTGTAATTAAAATGAAATATTTACGGGATTACGGAGTATGAAATTTGTAAAGATTTACATGCATATTTACATATTTAATTGACATGAAATTTACAGAATACTCAAATTGTGCGTAATTTTTATGCTACATAAAATATTGCGTAAATTTACGGTATAAATTCCTATAAATATCCTGTAAATTTTCTGTGAATCAAATTACCAATTAATTTATGTACCCTGTAGAGACTCTTGGTGTTCGATATTTTAGTGTAAAGTGAAAGTGTCTAAACTCATGTAAATTTTATTACATCGAATTTAAGGCAAATTTACAGGATTTCTCATTTCTTCGTTGTTGGTCAGGCACTCTGATGCACTGCAAGGGTTGTTATGCATGGTAATAGATATGTTATGGGCTGATTAATTTTCGACAGGGTTATAGGTGGTTATGGAGGATTACGGTAGGTCATGGAGGGTTATGCATGGAGGGTTATGGTGTTATTGGTTAAGGGTGTTTGAATAAGTTACTTAAAGAAGTTTTGTTTAATCGGTACAGCGAGTAATTGTACATTACTGCTGTTTGCTACTTGATCAGTAAATTAATAGCGTGCATGAACATTAATTTGCACTGAAGAAGAGGGAAGCCACATCTTTCCCTTTTAATTCAGCCTAGGCTACCGCAAAACAACCAAAACGTTTAAACGCGAATGAGAATTTGTCAGGATCAGGCGCGTAGCGTGGACCTCTTGGCTAGCACGAACATGTCAAGGTTTTGAATCTCGGAGTCTAACAACCACCAAAGGCGGGAGTATTAAGGGAGTCTGGTCCTCCCCCAGGAAATTTTGAAATAATAACTCTTGGAAATGGGATTTCCAGCGTTTTGAGAGACATCGAGGGCATATAAAAGGGATCAATTTTATGTGAATTTTGTAGTAATTTTTGTGAAAATGTTTCCTTTTGTGAAAATGTTTCCTTTTGTGAAAATGTTTCCTTGCCACGAGTACGCACGTGCGTATATGCGCAAAGGACGCTACGCGCCTGAGGATGACTCAAATAGCCATACAAATAAAATAGACCTGTAAGTCGTGGGAATGCAGCTTAAGCTCCAACTGGAGGACAAAACAATTGAGGACAAAAAAAAAACGTTTTGTTTTGCCATCCAGGTGAAGCTACTTTGACGTCACAAGGGGTCTATATATACAAGCAACGTAACATCAACTCACGTGCTTGATCGGTYTGGACCTCTAAGATTTCACTCTTGTTGCTTGATACACTGTTTCTGATGACTAGTACTTGAACTAGATATACAGTATAGGGTTGCAATCCATCGATTTCTATGGTGCTTGCATTACCACTTGATTTGTTATGCCATATATTGCTCAAATCATCTTTTTTCTTATAAAATGCTTGATAATCTGTAGCGTTGATTGYAGAATTCCACTCAAGAGTGATGCGTGTAGCAGTTTTTTCTTGAACTCTTACATTAGACGGTGGTGAATCTGGTAAAAAAGAAATTACCTTATATCATTAGATATAGCCTCCTTCACAAGAAAATCTTTTTTCCTCCTTTGGGCTTCCTTTGCAACGGTCATTTTGGCCGTTAGGGACCCCTTTTCTCTCCCCCATTCTCCCTCTTTTGACTCCTCAAAAAGACAGGAAGCCCGTGATTCTTAGTGATGCCTGCGGAGGAGGCTACTCATTAGACTTCACGGGTCTCTGCGCCAACTTGAAAGGTAGCCGTAGCTTTGCATCAACTGTAAAACTGAGCCTAAATGCATGTGGCGAGCCAATTTAGGTCTACTAGAAAGATTGAGGTATACTTTTGCAAATGTTTCCAGATTATGAAGTTACACGGCTTACCGTTTTGGCAGTATGATCCAAGGAATGCAGTAAGAAGTACAGCAGCGGAAAGGAATGACGTCATGTTGCAACCTTTGGTATAAATGCTAGAATAATATAAAAAAGCACGACTATCTTTATGAAAATACATATATAAAAAGCAATCGCCCCTTGACGTCATGGCTACAACAACTACCAGAATGCGTTGCGAACTCTATACAGACGCCATCTTCTTGGGATGCCCAAAACAGCTTATGAAAAGAACGTTTTGATATTTTGTAGCAATGTTCACGATAGATGGTAATCGATGGAAAATGAAACATATTGATCAGTATCTGCTGTTAATGAATCATAATCTCCAAATAAAACCTTGGAAAAGCAAACCAATATGTTTGAGGTTTGTGGTCCGATCCCACTAACGCCGATCAAGACTGAGCACGAGTGATCTAGGGATGGGAAAAAAATGCGGTTTGCCTCATCTGTAAAACACAAGGTCGAACCAAGCCCGAACCAAGCCCAGACTAAAGTCCAGCAAAAATATCTCATCAGAGTATGACATGACCAAAGAAAATCTTACAGTATTAAGATGCCGCAAGGCTTTTAATTAAAATACGTAAAAAAGGCTAACAAAACACAGAGTACAAACACTTAARCCGTGCAACATAAATAACACTAAATACTGCTAAATTATGCTAATTCTATTGTTTTCTATTGTTTAATTAACACTGTTTTGTAGYAAATAGTGGAAAGTGTTGCACAYATTTAATGTTTGTACTCTATCAACAATATAATCAACACCTTAAAATTACTTCAAACCAACTACAAATCAAATTGCGTGACTAATATATCAAAGTATTACGTGACTTATATTGAACCGACGCAGTTCACTGGTGTCAGCCAATATAATAATAACATCTGCAATCCTTAAAAGTTGTTCGTGAATACAAATAAGAAATATGTTGATCAAATCGTGATTTATTTACTGCTAATTTGTTTATAAAAGCTTGTAACTGCTATATAAAACATGGAGAGGCTTGTTTTATGGTTTTGTGGTACTGTTAAACCAGTATGAATCTAGCRCAGTGAAACAAAATGTAATTATAAACCTTTAAAAAATCGTGCCGTAAAAGAAACATATAAATAAATAAATAACTTAATCAAAAAGACACTCTCGTCATTATGTATACTATGTAGCTGTAGATTCGGGCATATATTCCATAATTTCTTGATTTCCGTCAATTTGATAGGCATATACTAGATAGGCATGAATACCAATGCAAACACAAACGTTTTWGCGTTTACAGACTCAAAATTTGTCTGTTGCTAAATTATGCATGAAAATCAACACTGCTGTCTCTTTTTTTAGTTTTGATATAAAATGTATAGCTGTAGGTTCTCGAACTAWTTACAATCTATTGAATGCATGCKCAAGTCGGACAACCTAAAGCGAACATTTCAGCTCAGACTGCATAAGTATTCATATAATTGATACTGCATTTATCTGACAAAAATCTGTCTGACTTTAAATGTGGCGTATCAGCCTCTACCCATAATGGAAAACGTCCGAGTATTACTTAAAGCGAAGCAGTACAACGGAAATCGTACTTGGCGTGTGGTAATTTGCCTTCAAACAATCGGGTGAACTGATATGTTGTTATTCAATCCACAAAGGAACACTTACCGTCCAAGAAGAAGAATCAGGAAGACCTTGTGTTSSACATCATARCARATATGTAGAGTAATGGCTTTGAAATTAAGTCAAATTCTGAGCATTCCGATAGTGAAATTCGCTGCTTCACCAAGCATACGGAAGTAAACTTCTTGAAGCTTTGACGTCATAGGTGTCACGCAACAGACGCAAGAATCCAAGATCTAGAAGACAAATATTTAGAGGGTCCATAAAATAAAATAAGATAAAAAATAATATTAAATATCAATGAAAAAAATCAAATGAATACAATAATATCTGAAAGTATGAGTCAATGAACAGCGTTGCGTCATATAAACAAACAGTAGATTAAAATTCATAAAACTTGTTTGTTCACCTAGTATCTTTTTACACTTATTTCTCTTGTAATATATTTATTTCTTTATTCATGGAATATATCTTACCCTGATATACTATTTTCTATTCGTTCATTTATTTTTTTATTATACATTCATTTTTCAACCATTTCTTATTYAATTTTATCGAATTTCCTAATTCCTTCGTGTACATGTGGTCTATTATTTCTTTCCTCTGTAATTTCTATTAGATTTTCCTTGGTCGTATTGTGCTTCCGCGTTGTATCCATATGACAAGAAAGCTATTTATAACCACTCCCTTGTAATATGTTGGGTTTCCTGTGTTGTTTGTAGCTATTGCGGGATTCCTGTGTTTGAACGATGCCAACATGGCGGACGAGGGGACATGTTTTTCTATTTTGCGTTCTAGCTGGAATCACAATGATAACCAACAAGGTAAACGACATAAAACTATACTGAATAGCTGTCCTATTTTTATTCTTTCGTTCTTCTGTTTTTCAGTATGTGTTGTCAATCCTAAAATTCACATATCCGACAATATTTCAAAGGTTAGTTCATCGATCACAAGTAAGCTTATTCATAAACGAACTTGAGAAATTAAGTTACTATTTAAGTACATATCATATAAGCTCAGTCACATCTCTCAAACACACGCACATGAAGCACATCTTTAATGAATATTATAGCAGCTAGAAGTCTTATTTGTTCTATGACATATAGCTGTCGAAGCTGAGATTCTTTTTTAAGCTTAAGCTTAATTATAAAAAAAAATATTTATCACATATAATTCTCTTAGAAATACCTATATTTCGTAAAGTTGATATTTTCACTAGTGAAAATAACACATTAGTGGGAGTAAGAAAAATGTATTATTCGACATAATTTACTTTCATATGTAACAGAATATTACGTTGTCGGTTGGACAAATTTTATCTTCTTGGGTTGAAAACCTCCCACTTGTTCGCTACACTTCCTCTTGAGAGACCTTTTCAACACTCGAATATAAAATGTGTATYGCTGCTCGCCCATGTAATATCCTTCTTAAGCTTATAATATTGCATGAAAGGTTTTCTCTACATGTATTTTGAATGGCAGTTAAATACTATTTCAGCTGGCAAACTGGAACTATAGCATTGGTTCTTTTAACACTACATAGCACAGGCTACATAGAACTGGATTTGTCTGTAAATAGGTAGGTTTATATCAACTATATAATGAATGTTGTAGGGCTTTCTATACAAACAAGAAGACCTTCTGTTATACTCCAGATATTAATATAGCAGGTGAAATTKGCAGTGTTTCCTTAGCTTTTTAGCTTTTTTTATTGGTTATTGTTTTCTGATAAGACTGCAATGGGTTATGGGTCTGATGTATTACATAGTGCAATAAGTGGAATTCACAGTAGTGTGTGTTTGATGCTGAAATTTTCTGTGTATAGAAGTACATTGCTTGCCTGGTTTCCTGCTGCTCTGTTCTTTACTGGCTCCATATATTCTGGATCTGTGGCTTTATCCAGATTGGTAAGATTGTTTCTTTGACATTATTTAATTTATTATTATGTGGTGTGTGCAGGGGCTTATCCAGGATGAGGCTCTCAGGGTGCTTGTGACCCCCCTTTCMAAGCCACAAAATAGTAGGATTTGTGAGGATTTGTTTCAAATTAACTTCAGCAGTTACGAATTTCCGTTTCTGTCTTCTCAGGGCCGTTTTGTTTCAATTCAAATCAAAAACCATATATGACGTCATAGTGACAATTTGGTATGTAAGGACCCCCCAAATGAAAATCCTGGATACGTCCCTGGTGTGGTCATGGAAATATGGTTTAGGTAGGGGTTGTGATTGGGAGGTGATGCTGACTGTCATTGAGGTTATTGATTAAATAAGATAAGATTAAAGCTATCAATGTCTGTGTTAGTGTCTTTTTGAGGGAGTGGTTGTTTTCTTTTTTTTTCCTGATTTTTTTTGGCAGAGATCGGAATATTAGTTTTCAATGTAAGAGGGTACAAGAAAACACAGAGAAAAGGAAACGCTGAAATATCAAACCAGTTCCTCTGACTGGCTTGGTCAATTTTGGACCATTTCTCATAAAATGAACATTTTCCCATTTGTCATTTGTTTTGTTTTTAATGACTCTGATTTTGTTTTTATTGTTTTTTTATTAGCCTATCCCTGTGTTCTGTTCCATTCAATATGTGACAYACATTTGGGTTTCCTTGGTAGATGTATTTATTCACAAAAAGGTATTTTGAAATTAGTATTTAATCTCCCCACAACRTGGAATCTGGCAACATTTAAGCTCTGGAATTCAGAATCTGGAATCTCAGTATGATGGAATCTGTTTCCAATAAAACATTGGAATGTTGAATCCACTCTCACTGATAGAATCTGGAATACTTGCTAAAGTGCATCATTGCATCATCCTGGAACCCAGGAGTTTGGAATCTGGACTCCAAAAGTGTTKCAGATTCCATGTCATGAGGCACAACTATGGTAGATATAAAATCATGTAAGTTCAGCCTGTTATTGAGACTCTTGAAAGGCATGGAGCTAGAAGAAGCCTACATTATAATTATTATCACTATATATTTTTGTGAACAATGTTCTTAGGACTGAACTATTTTCTCTTGACAAAATATGTTATGCACATTTCTTATTTTCAGATGGTTCAACTTCTCCCTCTTATAAGGTATAACCTCCATTTCCAATTGTGACTAATATAGCCAAAAAT